TTGTTGAGGAAGAAGAACCAAGAAGCTGCGCCAACTAGTTAGGGAAGGGAAATACACAAAAACTCTTTCTTCAGAATTTTGCTGACCTAGCTTTGAGATTGTCTTCACAAATGTTGTATATAAAAGAACAGCTATATTATCAGTTCACCAAGCTTAGTGTTTACATTAATGCTTATGCACTATAGCACTTTCTGCTGGATGCTTGATATATTGCAGAGTTGGTGCAATCATAGAATGATACTATTCATATGATGGTTTTAGCGGCTATATCATATTAAGATGCGTTCCGCCTTCGAAATGAGCTACGTATGGTTGTCACTCCTACGATGGGTACGAGAGACGAGGTCCCCTATTTCATCGCTCCTGAACAAGTAACTCTTCTTGTTCAGTACGGTACTCTACCTTTCGCATTTATGCTCTGTTCATAAGAATGTATTCTTTTTAAGGTTACGCTCGTGTTCGCGAGTTTTTACCGATTCTAACTGGCTCTAACACTGAACAGCAACGTGCACACTTATCGATTGACTCCCTCGAACCTAATGCCAGTTCTGAGGTACGGTTTTCGAAAATGACGCCAAACCGATAAAGTAGTTTCCAAGGAAGAAGAGAAGCGTGCTCGTTTGATAGCACTCGGACGGAAGGCTAAGGCGTTGAAAAAGATGAAAATGAGTGACACGTATACTGCAAAAGAATTGAAGGTTTTTTATAAATTGTCTGTTTCTTTGCGCTCAGATCTTTTCATACTCCAGTACAGGTTTCGAAAAGTGACATGGTTGGTATCGAGGTTTCTGCAGAAGAGATTCGCGACGTGATTGTGGAGTTCAGGAAAGTTGAAGAGAGCAGCAAAAGCAAAGAGTTCATCACTTTCTTGAAAAGTTCGTCATTTTCTGGTGGAATTTTCTTGCGAGTATCAATTACTTCTTAGTGGAACCTGACAGCAGGATGTATCGCTGGCTAGATGACTACGACATAGCAGTTCCGTGCACTAGACAATTCCGAGCTCGCGAACTGGTATATCACGACCTCTGGCGTAAAGGATATTATCTGACCAGCGGAGAACAATTTGGATCTACGTGGCTTGTTTACGAAGGTAGGATTTTCGTACCATTACGTCTTTGTCAATTAGGTCGTGTTACAGGGCTTCCAGGCAATGTTCACGCCAAGTTTTTGTGCGACTTTATTCTTGATGACGAGGAATTATCGCCACTCACTTTGATTTCGCTTGTGCGAGTTGCAACTCAGGTGAGGGTGCATGTGCTCAAGGAGTTTTTTAAAGCTAACTGGCTCCTTGTAGGTGAAGAAAAACTTGTTGATCGCAATAGTTGCCTCGGACAGCAATCTACCACATTACATAGCATTCGACTGGTTCAAACCTTATACTAAGGAAAATGATTAATCTAGCATTGACTTCCATACTTCGTTGCACTACTTTCAAGTTAATTAAGCTTTTTGCACATTATTTTGGTGTTGGTTAATTGTATTCTGATGTAATTTTTCCTGTTACTTCTTTCACTCGGAGTTGTTCTTTGTCACTGCTTTACATTTTCAAAACAATGGAAATATTGTTGTTTACCATAGCTCATGTTGTTATTTGGAGGTGTTCTGAGTTTATTGCCATTCCAACGTGTACCATGTTCCTAATTTGACAGTAAACAACCTTAGAGATGCAGAGTTACCGGCGGAAGACCTGAAGCGATAGAAATGATTGAAGGATGGAAAAGTGCGGAAAACGTGGAGGGATGAAAAAAAGTTATTTTGAATAGCGGAAATCCAGGTCAGAGAATAGGCTAGAAATATATCGGTATGCGGTTTTCGATCATTTGAATGGATTTTAGAAGTGAATATAAATCACTACAATATGTTCGCATCCAGGGTGGC